AAGGGGGGGGGGGTGGCACAGTGGTTAATCAGAAAAATAAAAAATTGCACGGTCATGCCAAAAAGGTTGCCGACCCCTGCTGTATATTCTAATGCACAACTATCTGACCAAGGCTTCTGGGTCTCATGACGAACTCAGTCCAGAAGAGGGCGCTGTCTAATGGAATAAATGGTGTGTCTACGTTTTTGTAGGACAGCATTTCCTGTGTTTCAAAGCAGATTTTTTTTTTCTTGTCCTAAATAGTATTCGAAAATAGAATTTGATTCCAGATGTTACAAAAATGAAATGTTCCATTCGTAATTTGGATTGTGTTACTCTAACAAAATAAATTGCATAAAAAACTGTTTTGTTTTTTTTTGTTATTAAACAGGTGAACACAAAACCACACATACATACCCTATAACAGTTTAATGGAGCTTTTGGTTGAAACAATTTACCCCGTACAGTGTGGCATCATGTCCACTGAAGTGTCTGCCGCAAAAGGTTAATATGTATTAACAGTGAAAATGTAGAATATATTTTTAGATTTTTTTTAAATTAGATTTTAAGTCAAGACTTTAAGCTTTATATGGAAATTCATACATAGAAATTACATAGAAATATAAGGTTCATATGGAAATTGACTTATAAAATAAATACACCCTGAGAAATATACATTAGAATAAAACGTGTGACAGCTGTGAGTCAGATGCACAGTTGTCCGGCTAAAATGTGGCAGAGATTAGAAACACTAGAAAGATTATTCATATTTGGTCTGCTTTGCTCAAAAGCTACTTATATTGAGGTTTTCATGGGCTTCCCATCAGGTGAAAACATGGCATCTGTGTGAAAGAGATAAAACAATAAACTGCTGTTATATTTATGGTCTCAAATGTTTATTCTATCTGTTTATGGTGCTTCACTGACCCTAGACCCAGGTTATAACATAGAGTAAGTATTAACAAAAACATTGAGAGAGAGAGAGAGAGAGAGAACAGAACAGCTGCTGATAGATGATGAATCACAACACCGCACATGAACATAAGCATCATTAAAGAATATATTTCCTATATTTTGTTAATTCATGACGAAAGCTACGTTAGGGTTAGCACAGTGTAAAATGACTTTCCAAAAATAGTTTTAGGACAGAAGTAACAAATATATAACCCAAACAAACTACACTCAACTCACATTTGTCAACTATTTGCTGTTCTGAAAGATTTTGTACCACATGTTTCAGGCAGTACTTCTTTAATTTTTGAAGTCTTGTTTTCTCATCAGTGTTTCAGATGTTGTTTGCTTGCTTCCTGATTTTGAATTCGTTCTCTGTTAGCTTGAATTATTTCTTCCAGATGTCTTATTCTTGCCTCCTGATCTTTTGATTTTGCTTCTTGATTTTGAATTCTTGCTTCCAGGTTTGGTGATTTTGCTTCTTGATTTTGAATTCTTGCATCCAGATCTTTTGATTTTGCTTCTTGATTTTGAATTCTTGCCTCCAGGTCTGGTGATTTTGCTTCTTGATTTTGAATTCTTGCCTCCAGTTTCTTTGATTTTGCTTCTTGATTTTGAATTCTTGCCTCCAGGTCTGGTAATTTTGCTTCTTTTGAATTCTTGCATCCAGATCTTTTGATTTTGCTTCTTGATTTTGAATTCTTGCCTCCAGGTCTGGTGATTTTGCTTCTTGATTTTGAATTCTTGCCTCCAGATCTTTTGATTTTGCTTCTTGATTTTGAATTCTTGCCTCTAGGTCTGGTGATTTTGCTTCTTGATTTTGAATTCTTGCCTCCAGTTTCTTTGATTTTGCTTCTTGATTTTGAATTCTTGCCTCCAGGTCTGGTAATTTTGCTTCTTGATTTTGAATTCTTGCCTCCAGATCTTTTGATTTTGCTTCTTGATTTTGAATTCTTGCCTCCAGGTATGGTGATTTTGCTTCTTGATTTTTAATTCTTGCCTCCTGATCTTTTGATTTTGCTTCTTGATTTTGAATTCTTGCCTCCAGGTCTGGTGATTTTGCTTCTTGATTTTTAATTCTTGCCTCCAGATCTTTTGATTTTTCTTCTTGATTTTTAATTCTTGCCTCCAGGTCTGGTGATTTTACTTCTTGATTTTTAATTCTTGCCTCCAGATCTTTTGATTTTGCTTCTTGATTTTGAATTCTTGCCTCCAGGTCTGATGATTTTGATTCTTGGCATCGAATTCTTGCCTCCAGATCTTTTATTAATCCTCTCAGATTTCCAATGTCTCTGACCACTGCTGTTGGATCTTCCATATCTGTGCTGGTGTGTGAAGATGGTGAAGGTCCTGTTTTAAAACTCTTGTTAAACACCTTACGCTTATAAACACTTGAGATTGTGCAAGGCAAACAGAGGATGAATCAGTCCAGTGATTCACCGCCCAGATGAACACGTGTCTAGTGACTGGTTTGTTCACATGACTCTGAAATCAAAGGAGGGGTGTGTGTGTGTGTGTCCCGTGGTGTCTGCCATTGCTAAGCTACCGTGACCTGCGCTCTTCATGATGACACAGAAGTTTCAGCAAAGGTTAAATGGATTTCCAGCACTGAAAATTGCTTGCAGTAGCTCTGCTACTAAATTTATACAAAAATGTATTTAAAAATTGCTATCCCTGTACAGCTATGATCAGCTGTTCCTCCATCTTGCCTGAGCTTTCATTGTTGTTACGGAAAGGGTGAAGGTGATTGGTTGGTTCCTTGCGGCATTCTGAAAAGTTGAGATGTATTAGGTGTGTTCAACTTCATGCGGCGCTGCACAAACCGATCAGCGAGAGTCACTATTTGCAGTCGAGGGCAGAATTGAAAGCGGAAACGTCAAGTCAGACACTTTCAGCTCCCGGTAGTAATGCTTGTGCGGTGTTTGCATATTCTATCACAGATTAAGTTAATTAAATCTAATATTTGTCAAATACACACGTTTCAGAAACGTTTTCATGAAACAACAAAAATACTTTTCATATACTGCTTAATATAGCGCCATCTGTTCAAGAATAAAGTTCAACATAAATACACAGATAGCACACGCATGTCTGCAAGATGTCTGTTAAAGATCTCTTCATCTTGTTTTACATACATTCTAAATCATAATCATCTTAAAGACATCTTCTAAATGTCTATTTGACATCTGATAGGAAACATCCTATAGACGCATTGCAGATGAGCAAACACTCTTTAAAAAAAAATGTCTTGCAGATGTAAATGCAGACGTCAAATAGAAGTCTCTGTGATGTATGTGTGCTATCAGGGTATGTACTATTTAAATACCAATAAAGTGAGTCTATAGGCTATATACTTTTATCAGTGTTTTATGATAAACGTGACTCAATACAACATTGCAACTACAGTAAAAGAGCTTCTGCTGTTATAAGAACAGATTTGTGAGCATTAGTGGAACTGAAGGTGTCAGAATAAACCCTAAACACAAGTCATCGTTGTCATGTGGTGAATTTGATCCAATTGTGAAACAGCTGTGTCGTCATCAGCGCTCATGCAGTAGTTCTGGAGAAGCTGCACCGGCGAGGAGGTTGGCCAAGATGGCACTCTGGTAAGATTAGTATGAAGAGCTCCGCAAATTCATACTAATATTTTGATTTGTAGTGCAGTAATAGAGACTTACTAGTTATATCCTGTATATGACTGATGTAACGATCAGAATGTTTGAGAATGGGAAAATCTGAAAAGAGGAAAAACAAGAACGCGTGCAAAGTCAATGGTAATCCTGCTAATAGTCAAGTCAAGTCAAGTTTATTTGTACAGCGCTTTCACGATACAAATCATTGCAAAGCAACTTTACAGCAAATTAAGTTTCTACAATATTTAGTGGTAGCTTATCAGTGGTGGCTGTCAGTTAATGTACATATGGCAGAAATGTACGGAAAAATCAATTAAAGACGTAATCAAACAGACGATGAACACTATTAACAGCAATTATTATATCATGCAATCAAACTTATAGCAAAATGTGGTAGTTCAATATGTTGTTTCAGGGTTGGCATCATCTGAGGTCCTCTGAGGGGTTGGCATCATCTCTTCTCAGGTGTTCTGGATCCAAACTGAAGCTTGTGTAGATCCTATAGTACCACAGGATGTCAATCCCGTGGCAAAAACAGAGAAACATTCATAAAGTCATTACTATTAAATTATTTAAATAAAGCTTCCTCAGCGACACAGCAAGATTCCAACAAACTTTTGAGCAAAAATTTGCATGACTACCTCAAGTCAGAAATTGATTCTGCAGATATCATGCCCATTGAGGAAACTTTTCCTCCTCTTCCCGAAACTCCATGTAAGTCTCCTGCTGTTAAACTTTGTAAGATAGAGAGCCTTGATCATGCCAATATAATCTCTCAATTCAAAAAACTCTCGCTTCTAATTAACAATCGATCTGATGCCTTGGAAAGAATGGTAGGAGAAAATGCATGAGCGATCGCAAGCATGAAAGAGACATAGAGACATAGAGTCATTGAAAACACCAAACAGATAGCCGACTTGAAGACAACTGTTGAGTCTGTGAGTGCCGAAGTAAATGATGTTTAAGCCCAGCTCGGCGCAATGAAGTCACAAGCGGAAAAGATTGAGACGAAAACATCTGATCAAGAAAAGCGGCTCTCTCATCTCGAAGGATACTCACGTCGCTGGAGTTTGAGAATCTACGGGATCCCCGAAAAGGAGAGGGAGAATGTTCGGGAAGGGGTCATCCAGATTTGTCAACAGATTTTACCAGAAGCAAGGGACAAACTTCCATACATTGTGGACACTGTACATCGACTTGGCCGTAGATGAGCAGCGACAAACCTAGGGGGGGGGCCACCTTTCAGTTCACCTCGAGCTTCTATCGTGACGCTGTTTGGCGGGCAGTGAAGGACTCTCACTTTCTCAGGAATAACAATCTTAAAGTCTCTGAGGATCTGTCTCCAATGATAGTAAAAAAGATAAGAAAAAAATGACCTCTCGAGGAAAAAGCACGGCGAGATAACAAGTGGGTATATTTTATAGGAGGAAGGGCCTTTGTGGATGGCACTAAGATATTTCCACCAACTTGAATTCCCTTTTCTGACTGTTTATTTACCTGCTCCACTTGAGAGTTGAACTACGCACTTCTACCCCTTTAAGATTTCCAAATAAACAAACTCAAGTACATTTCTACAGATGACGTAATTGTTCATGCGCCCGACCACAAAACACACAATCAACGCCTGCATGCTGTCATGAAGCGTCTAAGAGAATGAGGGCTGACTTTGAATCCTGCAAAATGTCAGTTTAGCATGGATCGCTTAAACGTCATGGGTATTCTGCTCACACAGAAAGGGATTGGGCACACTGAAGAAAGAATCAGAGCTGTGGTGGAAGCCCGAGAACCACAAAATGCCTCTGAAGTTTTCGTGGACTTGTCAGTTACAGCACACAGTAAAATCCAGAGTGTTAAATTAACACTGCTCGGAGCATATATGGTCCCACTCTAAAAGAGTGTTAAAGTAACACTGAAGGAGTGTTAAAGTTAATGAGATAATTATGTGATTAAGTGCTGATTGAGCATTAGTGATGAACAGCTGCTGTTAACAAGCAGAATCACTGAAGAAAAGAGAAACACAAGAACTACAACTGACTTCAGCCACAGCCTTAGATGAAATCAACTGAAATAAAAGACATTAAATCCATCAAGATCTCAGCAGAAGAT